CCTCCCACCCCCCTCGTGACCGATGGTTGGTGCACCGGTACTAACTCCGGGTTAGGCAAGGGACTACCGGGGAGCGCTAGAGCAAGCAGAGCGGACCGGACGGCCGGTTCGGTTCCTCCGGTGGGGCCACGAGCTGCCCATCCTGAGCCTAGAGGAACTGAGTCGGCGCAATGTGTGCCGTTTCGCTTGTACAGGAAGGTTAGTCGTACGGAAACAGCATCCACGGGGTGTGTTTAGAAAGTCACTCGTGCGTTTTTTTGTTTTGTTTTTCGGGAGACGTGTAAACATGTCGAAAGACGTTTGAAATTTCGTTTTTGGAAGGGGTGAAAATGACCAAGAGCTTTCCTCCTGGAACAGGGCTTCGGGATCATGTTGTGTTTGTTTTGCGTTAGTTAAGCTCGTCAGGCTCATGTGTGTTTCGGCCAATAAGCAACCACTGGGTTTGGGCAGTTTGTTGGAGACGAGTTTTGTCGATTTTGCGCGATGTCTTCGTTGTTATCGAGGTATGTATCCGACGTGCCCCTCCTTGTTGATCTTGTTGCAGAGATTTCTCCCGCTGTCTGTTGTTTTGTTAATTGCGCCGCCCCTGGCGTCATCTCCGTCATTTATCACCCCTTTTCACATTATTCGCTGGTGCTTCTGCTGCCCTCGCGTGTACATATGTTGAACCAGGTACGTCGAAACGGCTGCCATCGAGAACGCCCTCGCTCGAGTCGACAAGCTCTACGCCTCCACCGCCGGGGGAGACCCAGCGAGGCTAGCCCTTGCGGCCGGTTTCCAGATGGATGCCTCCGGCAGGGTCCACTCCCAACCATCCCCCCCCCGACGCCGCGGCAACGGCAGTTGGGAGAAGAATACGCGGCGACGCGTGGGTGGCGGGGGAAGAGCAGACACGAGCGCTCACAGCGGCGGCGGTATTGGGAGCTCGGAAGGTGTCGTGCGTGGGAGGGACGGGGCTTGGGACAACAGAGGAGGCAGCGAGACGTGGTTCCATGACCAAGCGAGTGGGAGAACCATGCGGCGGGAAGCTACGTCGCACAGCGTACCGCCGCCGCCACCGATGGCACGACCGATACCGGCCGCCGGGCCTGACCGGTTCACCTTGGGCGCGGATCGTCGGCGCTACGAATACACCGGCGCTCCGCTGGGGCTAGCGCAGGAGTGGACCCCTCGGGGAGGCACCGGCGCGGGGGGAAGCAGTCGACGTCGGGACCACTCCGACACGGGGGGGGGGGCAGGGGGCCCCGAGGGCGTGCCTCCGACGGTGATGTTCGGGAACGAGTGGGGAAGGAAGCGGGAGTGGCGGCGGACCGGTTACACTGACGACGACATCGACCCGGAGATGGGGTCGTGCTTCTTCAGGACCCCGGCGAACTCCACCGGGGTGCTCAGGCGCAGCGACCTTGGGGAAGGGACGGGAGCGGACCTGGAGGAGATGGAGCTCGTGCGGCGGATCAAGAGTTTGCGGCAGCGACGATGATGACGTTGGTGGTGATTATTCCCCAGGCGTGTTTCGTGGACTTTTGATCTTGTTGTGGTTAATTTAACATCCGGCCCTCTTTTCTTGGTCAAATCGGTCCTTGCATTCTTGGTTCGGTTCTGATTCGATCAGCTGTTTTGCCGTGGTTGCTGGTTGGTGGGTTTCGGATGGATGGGCAGCTTCACAACTTCGATCGCGATAGGTTCATAAGACTTGACGGATTAGATTAAAAGGTGGGCGTGAGAATTGGCTTTCCAAGGAGGCGTGAGTTGTTTCTTCATCGTCCAACTTCTGTAACGGAACCGAAATTCCGCCACAAACGAGATAGACGAAGACGGGAGTGACGCCATGCGGAGTTGACTCTTGCCTGGTCACATTTGTTACTTGAAGAGTGCAGTTTAGTGTTCGACGTCTCTGTTTTGTGCTGTTCATGGGGGACGTTGCTGTTGCTTTGTGAGTGGTTCTCTTGCGGTAGGAATCGCCCGCCCGGGTCTACTTGCAGCAGCAACGAGCGTCAGGTTTTGCCTGTGGGCGTTGCTTGTTGACCCCATAGCGCGCCAGGGGGGNGGGGGGGGGGGGGGGGGGGGGGGGGGGGGGGTAGCACCGGTGTGCCGCAGTTGCGGGAGACGGATCGGAATAGTTTCGGAAAAAAAATCAGGGACGAAATGATTATTAGTAGAAAGGCAATGGGAGAAGTCGGCACGCATCAACGGGAGCGCACTAGACAGGGCTGGAGAGGTTTTGACGCGAAGGTATAGGGACCGCAAGGCGCGCGTGGTATACGGGAGCAGATCAGCTAGGTTTAGGCGTAGTACGAGGGTAACGCCACAGCTCAAGAGCGCGGCAATCAAGATATTTGAGGCGAAATGCTTGCAACATTTTAGGTCGGACGCAATTTTTATTTCTCTGCAAGTGATGTGCTTGCTGGGTTGAAGACCCCATAGACTCAAAACCGTGAGTTATCATGAAAAATGACTTGGTTGTAGTCCAAGGTAAACATGAACAGTATCATCCCGGCATTCCGGCAAATTGTGGGGTTGTCAAGTGATAGCCCTACCTGTGCTTGTGTTTTTGCTTGGGGATGTGTGTTGTAGGGGGTTGTGGTGTTTCGTAGGGATGTGAAACTTCTATTGTAGGCGGCATGATTGTTTTTTTTATTTGCCACCATGATACTGCCCAGCGCTAAACGAGGAGTAGGAGGCCGATATTGTTCGAATTCGTGGTCGGAAAGTACAATTCTGTAGGGGCAGCCCACCGTGTCCTACCACGTCCTCGGTCCCACCACGTCCGTCCGCTTCTACAGGGGACAACTTTCCATTTGACTCTTGCCGCACGCGGTGGTTGGTGCTTGCTGTCCCCCCCGTTCGTGTGGACAACTATCTTCGTTTTCTTGCAGGTCCGGAAGTGGGGAGGCGTTTGGTTAGTCTTACCCCGATGGTGGCATGAACAAAACGTGGTTGGTGGCTTGCTTGTCTGTGTTGTTGTCTTCGCGCCTCTGGGCTACGTTAAATCTCTTGCGGAGGTTTCAACACACCTGCTGCGTGTTTGTAGGCGGGCTCGGCACGGTCGTTGGCGTTAGATGAGGCGCGCTGTGATACACACGACCGTTGGTCGGCACGGCGGTGCTGCTGTAGCCGGCGCGGTGGCCCTTGCCAGAAACCGCCATCGCTCTGTCTCGTTGTTGTGACACTGGGGCTTACGTGTTGACACGACGACGATGACCGCTGCTGACTTTGGGCGGCGCCGCCTTCGTCGCAAAGAAAACACGGGAGAGAATGTCCGCCACGCGGAGGCATCATGCTGTGATCCGGTGGTATAGAGAAGGTATATTGAGGCCTTGGCCGCTGCCCGTGGGAAGAGCGCACCTGAGGCCCTTAATTTGGCTCGGAACTGTGTTAAGACGACGGAGGGGGTCGGGAGCTAGGCTAATAGAGGTAGGCAAGGCGTTTTTGTTCGATCAACTGTGTTTTTTAGTAATGGTGTGCGGTTGTGTGTTGTCTGTGCACGTGGATTGGGTCATCTGCGGCGGCGGAACTCGAAGAGACGAAAGCGCAACCACCGCACACTTTCCCGCCACCGAGAACTTATTCTGGCGCCCTCGGTGACGGAGAATATTCTAATTGAGGCATGTGGTGCGTGGGAAATATGACAACTCGACGATTCGCCCCTTTTTTTTTTGGGGGGGGGNGGGGGGGGGGGGGGGGGGGGGGGGGGGGGGGGGGGGGGGGGGGGCGCAGCTCAGCACGAATGGAATGCGCTTGGCCCGCGCTTCCATGAACAAGCAGTGCGAACCGCCGCACAAACTCGTTGTGTGTATTTGTTTTGGGCGGTTATCATGGTATTTCTATCGCTTACTGTGGTGAAGCACGATGTCGGCCGAAACGACCAAACACGCACCACTTCGAGGAGTACCTGTCTGTTTCTACGCCTTCACGACCCAACATTGTTGTTGTTGCTGTATTCCACATATACATCTCGAATGGGTAGTCTTTCTGTGAGGTCATGATTGCTTCATAAACAAGCCATCCCGGCCTTCTGATATGCCCACACCGGTTCCAACTGGCGCGGATGCCTCGAGACAACGACACACTCCCTCTACACTCAGCCATCTCCACGAACTTATCGAGCTCGACCGTTGGGTTTCTACATGACGTGGGCGGCGGTGTCGTCGGCCACCGCGACTGAAACTCCACGCACGGTACTCGGCTCTGGATTCATTTGTTCTTGCTCTTGCATCTGTACAGCACATACCACATCGTCTTGCCGAGACTAGCCTACTAGTACTCAGCAACCTCCAGGGTGGGTCAAACAAAGCCAACATGACACACCAGCGCTCTCTGGAGGCCCCGCAAGTTGCGCACAGGTACACACACATATGCATACCAAGGCAAGCGATAAACAATCACTCTCTTCTTTTCGGGTACGCACAGCACCGTTGCCTACTTGACATACCTAGACGCCGTTTAGGGCAACGATGCGGTACCCCTCTTTCTCTACACCACGGTCGCGGTTGGAGCAAAAACAGGATCCCCCACTCCCTCCAGCAACTCGCTCGCCCCCCGCCCCCACGACATGGCTGCTCTCCGCTCCCCCCGACTTCGATCACAAAAAGAACTTTCAAATGCTCCCAACCATAGCCCTCACGAACTCTCACAATAATCAACTACAACGGCTCAGTTTGCCTCCAGATAATCACGTCCGAAAAATAATTTCCCCATATGCTTACGTGCACACCCACGTCATCTGGCCTACGTGCTTCACCCCGTTGCGGCTTTCCACGCGCAGAGAAAAAGCCGCACAGCACCACACCGCAAGTTGGTGAAGTGTTAGAGGACGTACATCAATCACCACTCAACACACATGCTCTTGTCACACGAGTCTTCGCAGGAGCTATTATGGCGCACCCCGAGCCTGTTGAGTCTCCTCAGCAAATCCACCCCTCCCCCATTTCCATCCGGCCTGCTCTACGCGTCGTCGTCTCAACTCTCGTGATCGAAGCAAACGCCAACCTTCAGTGTAGAACGACGTTCCCCTCCCGCCCATGTCCACGACAAACTACTCTAATAGCACATCCGACACCGTTCCGATTTCAATTAAAGTCGACATATGTAGCCGAAGCAACAACTATTTCAGGGTAGATCCGTTTGCACGGGAAAGTTGTACGGGGGGCCAAAAACAGGTCCACCTTTTCCAAAAGCTCCGTCCAAAAGGGAGTAATTGTTTCTAGCAGCGGCACACTTTACTATCGATGTAGGCATGAGATTTCTCTGCAAGGACTATTATCTAGCAGCATGGCAACACTATTACGATCGATTCCCTCCGCGGCGCTACCTAGAGTCGCGGTGTTCCCTGGGACACGTCGCAGATGCTTCCAGCTTTCCCACCAGCTTGTGTCCACCACTACAGCGGCAGGAGACGATAGACAGGCCTAGAATTAGCACTCCAGGAGATCCCCCAGGCTAGAACTACACCCCTCTGATGCACGAGAGACGACCCCCTTTTCAAGACCAATGAGGACTTGTGCGTCCAGCCGAAACAGGCCAAAATGGTTGTTGCTTCCCGCTAGTTACGACAAAACGTACCAACAGACCATTTTTTCCATGCATACACGCACTGTATCCTGACAATTTGGAACTCTCTCCTATCCCACCGGCAACACCTGATAGTCTCGTACTCCTATCACGCCGCGCACGTCCAAAGGGTGGAGAGGCCCTTCAGCATAGCCTGTCGCCATGCGGCCCAAACTACAGAAAAATCGGCCTCACACCCCATAACTCCGCAAATCTTAGCCGCGTTTTGCTCAGACCCCCCCCCTCCAAGCCACATCGTTCAACTCACCAGCCTTGCTGCTGCGTGCGTTTCTGACACCGTCCAGGCGATCGCCAAGTCTTGCCAAATATTTACGAATGCTAAGCCCTACCATACGCTTACGGATGCCAAAATCCTGTCCTATACTTACAGAAAAAGACGATTGTACCAAGTGCAACCATCGCCGCGCTGCGCTGGATAACAGTCTACAACCTCAGACTTAACGCCTCAGTCGAAGATCCAAAATCTAAGCGTTCAAGTACATACATGTGTGAGGACCAAGGATCTAATAGAAGAAACACGACGAATTTTTTGCGGATCATCACAACGAACATCCGTGAAATGGCCGAATACACGCGTAACTGGAACAGCAGTACCGTACACGCTCAGAATGAGGAGGACGTGTGCCAAAAAGCAGGCGAGATATATCTCCCGGCTTACGTAGCAGTGACGAGCAAATGATAGCCCTACCTCGACACCAGTAAGATGCAGGAATTTGCAAACCTTTAGGCTGGAAAGTAACGGATGCTGATAATCGAATTTCCTTGATGGAAAAAACCCAACGACCGCACTTCAGTCACACACATGACCCCGTTTGGGTCGTCTAGCTAGTAAAAGTGGAGGATAGGGGCCAGAGAGGCAGGCGACAGAGTCCAATGATGGGAGAAAAAAATAATTATATGTCAACATTGGACATTGCACAGTTAAAACAAACTAGCATCATACAATCCGAGCACGCACGCCGCCACCGCCGCCGAAAAGCTACACACTAAGGACTTTTCACCGTCGGTTGCACGAATCTTGGGAGGAAAGCACTCGACGATTTCCTCGCCTTGCTCACACACACACAACCTTGCCCCATGCAACCAGGCCACAGCAGCAACGACAGCAGTAACCGCTATGTAACAAAGGACATCAACGCCAAGCCACGCCTAACCAGCTGGATTTATCCGCCGACACAACACAAATAAACCAAGATAATCACAGCGTCACCGCAGGTCCAACCTTAGCAGACATCCCTGCCCACAGCACTGATACAACGTTGGGGATTGTGCCACTGGTTCTTGCAGCACCCCCGTACGAAACGACAACTAGAAAACGATGCTCCGCGAAAAACAAACCCACGGCGGTACAACCACCTGCGGGAACAGAGCTCTCTCAAGTCTCAACCCCTTCCGCAAGCATCGACACACCAAATCTATCAGATTCAAGCCTATACATTCTCGATGCATCTCTATCCTGCAGCATTGCGCTCCCCACGTGTGGCTCCATAAGCTCCCCCCGCCTCGTCTGCCAACTTCAAAGCAGCAAAGCAGGCGTTTCAATCCCACCACTCCAATAACAGCTATATCCCCCCCTTCCCCTGGCACACGTGGTATTCCGAATCACCCATGAAGCAGCAGAGCCTATTCGTGGCTACCGCCGCGCCTTGGACCAAAGCAAGTTGGCCGCCAGGGTGGGCTCGAAAGGAACCCCCGCCTCCTGGCACCTGGTGAGCAGCTCCTCCATCATGGTCTCATCCCTCCTCCTTCGCAGCACCTCCACGTCCGCCGGCACGGTCACCAGCCATTGCTGCTCCTTCGCCACCCACGACAGAAACCCGCAACGCTGCAGCAGGTTGGCCACCCGAAACGCCTCCTCGCGGTCGAGGGCCACACCCGCCTCCCCGCCGCCGCCATCACCGCCGAGGACCGCCGCCGCCGCCGCCACCGCGCGGGAGTTTTCACCGCCGCCCTGGCCACCGCACGCTTCGGCGAGGGAGACCAACCCTTTGGCTACCGTGACTTCGGAGAGGCCGCTCCCCCAGTCGCTCGCGAGGCTCCCGGCGGTGTCACCGGTGCGGTCTGCTGCTGCCGAGGGAGAATACTCCACGCTAAGTAGGTGCCTGTAGAGCTTTTCTGAGGGGCGGATCACCGACAGCGCTCCCAGTCCGCCGGACGCTGGCGGGAGAGACGGCGGCGGCGGCGGCGGCGGCGTTGACGCTCCAGCACGCGACCCGTGTACGCTGACACCGCCATTGCCGCTGCCACTTCTGCTGTCAAAATGGGCGTTCTGCGCCGAGTGCGCGTGCCCGCCGTATGCCGCCGCCGCCGCCCCCCCACCGATCCCGGCAGCACCTCCGCTGCCGTCGAAACCGCCTCCGGCTATCCGCGGTGGGGGGCACCGTTCGCGAAATGCCGTACCGGTGCTCGTCGCACCAACATCTGCATGTGGCCCCCTCAACCTCGGAGGGGGGGGTGAGACAGTCGGCGAGGAAGCCGCCGCCGCCGCCGCCGCAGTCACCATCTCGGGAACAAGCAGCTGCCCCGGGGACAACAACGGCTCTGTCACGGCTGGGGCCGGAGCGGGGGTTTCGTCTTCCACAGCCACCCTGGCAAAGGCCGTCGGCAAATCCACCTGCGGAGAAGGCTTTTGCGGTGGCGGCGTAGAAGGCAGAGCCGTCCAATCTATCACGGGCCCCTTACCTGCCCCGAACGAGTTCGTCGCCGACGCTGGCGCCGCGGTAGGGGCAGGGCCGTCGATCAGCAACGGCGACGTCGGGACCCCCTGGTCCCCGTAGGACGCAGCTCTTTCACCGCCCGCCGAAACCGCCGCCGCCGCCGCCGCGGCCCGGCCGCCCCCACTTCCTTCGCCCATGACGGGCTGCGGCTTGAACCTGAACCCCCCTCGGGCGCACAGCAACTGGGGCGGCGTCGTCACGCGCGCCGCCGCGCGGTACGTGCCCCCCCCTCTGCCTCCCATGTCCGCCCAGGTCGCCGTCGCCCCCGTGTTGGTCGAGCGGTCCCCTTTCCCGCCCTTCCTCCTCCCCTTGTTGGCGCTGCCGCTCCTGCTGCTGTTGCTGTCGTCGGTGAAGATGAACTCGTGGCACGAGAGCGCGACCGACGAGCTCAGGACGGAGGAGGGTCCGACGCCGATAACACCCTTCCCGAGCTCTCGCAGGCGGCGGAACACCGGGCCGAAGTCGGAGTCTCCGGTGGCGAGCACGACCCACTGAATGTCCGGGCCCCTTGTGACACGGCGGGGTTTGTGGGGAGGTGATGGTTGTCCGCGCGGGGAGTGGTGGTGGTGGAAGTGGCACGTGCGGGGGGCACAAGAGGGACAAAGAGAGAGAGAGCGGTAGAGAGAGACAAGGGGAAGGGAGAGAGAGGCCGGAGATGAGCGAGGTGTTTCCGAACGTTTTCACGCCAAGCGGTGCAAGTCTAGTAGGGGCAATGCCAATTGTGCGCGCATGAGAGAGTCTGATTGATGATCCTAGTGTGAGTTCCCGTGGTTTCATTCGACTGATTGGAGCGGACAAGCAATGGGTCGTCCGCTTCCGCCTCTGCCTCCTCTCCCAGCTGACACAAAATTAACCGGACCTGCCATTCCAACCAAACGAGAACAAGGTTCACTGCATCGTACGACCGTGTCCAGACCCGGCAACACCCCCTCCCAAAAAGGGCGGCGTCTGCGCCATGACGTCAACCCGCAACAACGGATGCCGGAGAAGTGTTTGGCAAAGGGCAAGGGTTATCAAATCGCTACATACTTTGTAGAGCCAGCAGGTGCCCGCAAACCAACACAATAACTGTAGGTGAGTTCGGGCTACACCAGGTGGTCGTCCAAACTGAAACCGCACACCCTTCGCTGAGAACAATCTTCAGCTACTGCTGTAGACGTCGGCGGACCTAAAGGAGACACAGCAGAGACAAACCAACCGACGTTCCACGCCTGCTCTCTCTCTCTCTCACCTGCAGCTCTCCATCACGTCTATCGTCATGCTGATGTCCGCCGAGTTGCTCTTCCCTTTGGCCGGGTGCACCGTGTGCACGAGGTCGAACCCGTGCCTTTGCAGCTCGTCCTGCCTCGAGGCCACGGTCGCGTTCGAGAAGTCGCCAAAGGCGCGCCGGATGCCCACCACCCCGAGCTCGCCGGCCTTCGCGAGCAGCTCTGTGCAGCCGCCTCGCTTGAGCCATCCCAGGACGTTCTGATTATTGTGCGTGTCAGGAGGACAAGTAAGGATGAACACACACGTACACATATGCACAAGATGAAACGAGGGAGTGTTGTGTGTGTTCGTCACACCTATTCTGGAGCTGGTTTACAGGCCGTTCGGCGTATATACCTGACGTATCGGCCGGGGTCACACAATCGGCCGGGGTCACACAAAGAGGAGACACACCGGAGGTTTTTGGTTTATTGCCTGCGGTGCTCGCTGTAGTTATTGTCGCGACAAGGGTTCAGCGGTAGGTTGGGTGTTCTTCCTTGTATGTCCACGGACTCATTCTGACAGCACTTCAGACAGCAGCTGCATGCCCCGAGCTTGTGTACGATGCACCATGGTGTTATTATTGTAAAGACAGCACTTCAGACAGCAGTACGCTGTAGTCGACAACATTCATTTCGGTTCAATGCGGGACAAGGGGGGTGATGCTGCTGCTGTTGTCGAATTGTAGTGTGTGGGCGTGTAGTTCAGTTGTGAGCACGCAAACGTGCTGCAGGGATTGCAGGTGTACCTCCTCGGGCTTGTGTACCCTTTCCTTGCTAATGGTGTGTGTGTCTTCGATCTTTTGATGGCCCTAGCATTTTTGTGACCACGGAGCGAGTCTCTGCTAGATTTTGGGATTAGCAACTGACACGAGTTTGATGTGAAGAAAAATAACAAGAACAACAATCCCTTGTCGATCGTGAAGCCGAACGTGTCATGAAACCTTAGAAAGAATGGAATCACGAACCCTCACAGAGGGAGCGCGCTAGCTGCCGAGGCCCACTTCCAAACTAGATAACCTATTGAGACATGTGGGTACAAATTACACAACAGTCGACCTGATGTTTCTCCACGTAGTCTAGACAAATTAGACAAGCGTTGTAGTGTAAGCCTAAAAAAATAGAATGAACGGATCATTCGAGAAGTGTGGGTACGATGACACAGAGGTTTCGGTCTGACGACTGCTGTCGGGTCTAGATTGAACACTAGCCCATGTGCCTCGTCAGCACCGCGGTGGCACATCGGCAAGCCCAGCACTGACACGACGGTATTTCCTCTCCACACTCATGACTCTGCAAGCTCATAGGTAGCCCTTCATTTGGGTTTGTGTGTGTCACCTGAACGGAGGAGATGGGTGAGATGGACGCGCGCGGTCGTTGCTGTTGCCTACCAAGAAAAAAAAAAAGTTGCAGTGGAATATGGTATCCAGCGTCGTTGCCAATAGAACGAAATCGCACGCGGAACGCCAAGCATGTACCGGCCCAAGCAGCACAATGCGCGCTCGTCCCTCCCCACCTAATGTTCACGGAACTCGGTCATTTTTCACCAACGGCACCTGGCGCTCTTTGGTTTTGGTCCTCGTTGTGGGGGGAACAGGGAGACTCTGAAAAATACTCCGGGGTAGCATACCTATACAACATCGGTTTTCTAGAACTTTTTCACTCTCACCTCGACATCGACGAATACGCCGACTCGTTGTTTTCTCTCGCCCGCTGCGTTCCCTTGCACTCCTTGTTCGTCAGCGGCCATCATCTTCTCGGTTCGTCGCACAATAATTTGTGGTCTGGGGTCTTTGATTTCTACAAGCGGTGTTACTTGCACGCAGACGGGTTCGAATGGGTTCCCTACGAGATTTGCTGAATCACGTAGCCCCCAGTACTCCGGTAACAAAATTCAAATAACGATAATGAAATCGATTTGGTTCACGCCTCAAGTAGTCTGCAATGCATAGTAAATCGAAACAGATACGTCTGGTCAAGGTCGGTAGCGACATGAGGGGCGTTCCAAAAGCCTCACTGTTTGCGTTCCAGCACATCCATTGAAAGCTGTCTCATTGCACAGCATACACACGTACAAACACCTGGACGGGGGGGGACACATGAACTCCATCCCCGCTGCGGTGCCATCAGGCGTTTCGCGAGGGAGAGACAGACGTATGGAAGCGTGCTACGGGAGCGGGAGAAAGTCAGAAACTTCCTCTAAGCGCTATCGGTTATCAGAAATTGCTTCCACCTGAGGAAAGCTCTCAAGCCCCCCCAAACTCGAGAGCCGACGCGTCAAATAAAGTTTTCTGTGCCAAGTCCCAACGGACTCTGGTCGGCTTCCTTTCGTGACAACTGCCGGGGCGCGGCACAGGTGCGGGGTTGAGTATGGGGTGTCTGCTTTCCATCACTCATTTTACAGCGCGTTGCCCACTCGCTAGCGTGGAGGAGAGACGACAGATGTGCTGCTGCTGTTGCCATACCCCTGCCTCGTTCATAACCGGACGACAGCAACTGCTACGTGTGGCGCCAACCTTTCCCTGTGTAACGCTGGACTGCTGTGTGTTATATTGGCCACATTCGCGGCCCTGGGTACTCGTTCCCCCCGCCGTGCTTTTCTCATGCCCGAGCCACACCCGAGCACCCCTCTTTGCTCGTTATTCGCGTGCTGCTGCTGTTGTGGCAATTCCCCGGCTCTCGGGGTATATGTATATATATACTATATACTCCTATACATCAACACACACACACATACGCGCGGCGATCGATTACCTGTTGTGGCCACATACCGCAGGTTTGTGCGTGGACAGCAGCAGCCGGACCAAAAGAGGGAAACACAACCCGCAGCAGCAATCATGAGCGCGGACGACTTGGCGTCGCTGCCACCCACGGCTCCGGGAGGGGGCGACTTCGGGGTAGCTATGAACAACAGGACCGACACCATCGATGAGTCCACCATCGGGGGGCCTTCCCGGCTAAAACTCAAAGTGCGCCCGGCGCCGCCGCAGTACCCCTACGCCGACACCTACTTTACGTTCGAGGTAAGAGTTGACCAGGCCCGTGAGAAAGAAAAACGAGCAGAAAAAACGGAGAAGGACGCTTCAAAGGGTCTAAATACATTTAGATTTTGCGTTTGACGGAATGTGGAGTGTGATTCTTGCCATGGGCATTTGACCCGCGTTTACCCGTGCGCGTGTGTTGACAAGCCCGACTTTTTTTTTTTTATATCTGGGGCCCTTGATCGCTGCGTGCAGTTGCATATCGCGGGAAGGAATACCTGTATGCATAGTGAGAGAGAGAGAGAGAGAGAGAGGAGAGCAACACACCACACTAGTAAGAGGCGTGCGTGTCCCATGTACGCCTTCTGATGTGTAGCTAAAGAGCGAACTTCGGACTTCTTTCATCGAAATTTGAAATTTAGCAGTCATCCGGAAAAGAAACCAGCAAGCTTTCGAGACGCAAGTTGTTGCTCGTCCCATTTGTGTGAAGCTCATGGCATGTCCGGGAGTCACCTCCAACTGCTCTACGGCTCCGGTTGATACAGCAGACAGCAGTACGTCACTTTTAACACCGGAAAGTGGAGACTGCTGGCGTCAGAATAGTTGCGACTACATTAAAACACCCGCGCACACACATTGTAGGTGCTTCAGCAATGCAGGAATTTCTCTTTCAACATCCACATGCAGCGAGAAAAGAGGGTAACACCATCATCGTGAGAAGAAGGTGTGGGGTGTGTTGGGGAGCCATCAGGATCCTAAAGATATTGGGGGGAGGAGGCGCAAAAACGTGCGCGCCACGGCAGCAGATGATGGGCAACGATTTTAATTTTGGCTCGCATTGTTGGCCCGCATTTGCATTTTACTCAAAGGTGATGGGTACGTATAATGTGAGAATTTCTCGCTGTCGGGAGGGTGGGTGTGCACCCATGCTCCAGTTTTTTTCCATTTTCCCCTCGACGTTCTCGTCACTTCCCTCTCCCGTCCACGGAAAACCGATGGCTACTTTCGGAGACGACATGGGTATTACATATTGTCATTGTCGTCGTTGTTGGCAGCCGGTGTGGTCGTGGTCTGGCTGTCGTTGTTTGTCATCGTTTGCGACCAAGGGACATCCATGGAAGCACCCCAGACTGAGTGTAAATCTTGGTCTCGCGGGGGG